CCTCCTCTTCCTTTTCCTCCTCCCCCTCTTCTTTCTCTTCTCCCTCCTCTTTTATGCTGGTTCTAGCACCTGGGTACTGTCCCTCAGTGTTTTCCCTCAATGCTACTGCTCTACCACTTGAGCCACAGCTCCACTTTCAACTTTTTGGTGATTAGGTGAAGTTTGATTCGAGTCTCATGGATTCTCCTTCCTGAGCTAGCTTTGAACCAAGATCCTCAGATCTCAGCCTCCTGAGTAGCTAGAATTATAGGCACATGCCCCCAGTGCCACGCTCTTGTTTCATTCTTCGTAATGTCTTTTAAATCTTTAAAAAGTGAGAGATTTCGCATAGAGAGAGAGTCAGGTTTCTGGCTTCCTTTGAACAATTGGAATGTTTGGCAGTTCTTGCTCCAACAGGGCAACAGCTGGCTGACACAAAGAGGTGGTTCCTTCCTGCTGATGAGCAGTGCTCTAACAACTACTACGGTTAGCACAGAAGACAACCTGCCGACCCCTTTCCCACAGAAGCCTGCAACTTCGTTCCTGGGGAGACAATTGGGGGAGTATTAACCATGGTGCACTAGGGTGAGCGTGAGCCCCCCACCCACAGCTCCTGCCCATCCCACTTTATTTACTCGTGTGAACTCCCTGTCTTCGAAGACATCTGGCACCGATCCAGGCATATCTTGGCTCATTCATCCTGATAAGCACCAATGGCATCGGGTAATTGTACAGTGGCCATCTCATTTTCTGTGCAGAGAGGATGGCTTTCCTGATAGTTTCCTGTTCATCTGTTCTCATCTTCCTTGGCCTTTAGAGCAGCAACACCCTCCACGTGTGACAGAACGGGAAGGTGTGTAGATTCGTTATTGCTGTCGTATTGCCTTGGCTTTGTGTTAATAGCAGCTGCGATGCCCAATTGAACCCGTATTTTACACGCACTCCTCACCCCCCACAGCACACGACTGTCACTGAGCGCAGAGTGAAGATGTGTAAGCACCCACCTAACACCCTGCATGTCTCACATAACATGTAGGCCTTGCTCAGTAAGGGTGTGTTTGTTTTAAAGACCTCCAGAAAAGACTAACAAGCCCCCATTACTAACGAAGAGCTATTTATATCCTACATGTAAACACCATCTAAGTTTTTTGAGGATTTTTCCCCCTTCCCTGCTTCTTCAAAGAGTTTCTAGAATGGTTGTCTACGTTGTAGGCAAGTAAGTAATTTAAATTACTTTCAAGGAAACACATCCTCTATGACCCAGTTGATGAGCCAATGCTCCTAATCTCTTTTTAGATTGGCTCCAAGAACTACTGTTTAACCTAAGTGCAGAATTGCGTGTTTTCCCACAAGCCTAAAAGCAGGGTTTGTCATTGATATCAGTTCTCCATTAACACCATTCCAAATCAGATAAGATCATTTCCATGAATTGCACTTTTCCCTATTGGGTTGTTTTATGATTCTTCACTCATTAAATCAAAAACCCATTGCTGTCCTTGGGGCCAAAATGCCATTTTATGATGCAATAGTGTGTGTGTGTGTGTGTGTGTGTGTGTGTGTGTGTGTGTGTTGCTGTTTGAACTCACGTGCTCAGATTGCTGATTCAGCACTTGAGCTAGGCCTCAGGCTTGTTTTTTGCTGGTTACTCTGGAGATGGAGTCTTGTTGACTTTTCTGCCCAGGTCTGGCCCCACACTGAAATCCTGCCACGGTCAGCCTCCTGAGTAGCTAGGATCACAGGTGTAAGCCATCACCACCTGGTTTCCGTGGATGAGTTCTTTATCCATGCAGTCTTCTTTTTTTAAAGAACCAGAGAACAAGAATCCCAACTCGTGTGAGTATTATTTTACATTTTTTAGGCTGAGTTTCAAAACCCCACATCTTCACCACCCCACCCCCACCCCACCCCAGCCCAGCCCTGTACCTGGAAGGGTCATCTGCAATGAGGCAAAGCAGGCTTCTCCACCGGACACAGCGGGCACAGCATAGAAGGCCTCCGTCCCTTGGCGGTCCATAAAGATGTGACTTTTCTTTTAAAAATCAGGAAAACCAGTGACTAGAACCCAGCTTGTGTTTTGCTTGTCTTTGTGCCAAGCAGTCCTTAAATGCACTTTTTGATGTTGTTCTTATGGGGGAAGAAGCTCAGGAACACTGTGAACACTGTACAGTGGGGACACCTCCAGAGCAGCTGTGTGCCTCCGTGCCTCCGCCCAGGTGGTACAGTCATGACCAAAACTGCACAATGCAATGTCTCTAAGCTGCCTTGAGCAACCTCTGTGAGCCTCTGGCTCTTCATTGGAATCATCACAACAGACAATATTATTGAGCCCTTGCTGTGGCCCAGGCTTTGTGGGAAATGCTTGCTGTGTTATCACTCATGGTCCCTCCGCGAAGCAATGACAGGTACGTCCTGGGAAGGGCAGGAATCCTGCAGAGCATCAGGGAGCCAGCATGCACCCATACAGCGCCTGCGCTGGGTAATTCCGAGCCACAGTGTCTGCATCTGAAACACAAGGCTCACACACAAGACAACCCCTAGTAAACACACTGAATAAAAATAGCCAGGGACACAGAACCCAGTTCCAGGGGTTAACTGGAGTTGAGTCCCATGGACTTTCCTGCCTGAGCTGGCATCAAGCCGTGATCTGCAGGTCTCAGCCTCCTCCGTAGCTAGATAACAGGCGTGAGCCACCAGCCAGCAGCTTAGACATGCTCTTGACTAGAGCTTTCAGGGTCTGAACAAGGGTGGTGGTGGTAGTGGTCAGAGACGGGCAGGTTTGAGAGGTGGCAGCCATGTGACTGTCCAGCAGATGTCAGTACTGAGCAAACTGACTACTTCCTAACAGAAGCTTGGGTTTGACAGATCACATTGTACACCTGAAGCTTGCAAACTAGCAGCCTATCATCAAATTTTTACAGTCAAATCTTTTGTCTACAAGGCTTAAAAAATTTTTAATCCATTATTTGAAAATAGTAGGTTGCACATAAATATCAGAATTCCTGTCTTAATATAATTTAGCAGTGCCAGGCACTAGTGGCTCGTACCTGTCATCCTAGTTACACAGGAGGTTGAGATCTGAGGATCACGGTTTGAAGCCAGTCCTAGCAGGGAAGTCTGTGAGACTATCTCCAATGAACCACCAGAAAACCAAAGTGGTGCTGTGGCTCAAAGTGGTAGAGTGCTCGCCTTGAGTGAAAAGGCTCAGGGACAGCACCCAGGCTGAGTTCTGCACCCAGACCAAAACATTTACACGCTAACTCCCAGCTACAGCCCACAACTGCCTTTGAGACAGAAGTGAACAGTTTATCAATCTTCATCCAGCACCAGGAGTTTCCTATTAACAAAAATAAGAAAAGGCGATGGACACTTTGAGAATGAATCTAAAACAAGAATCCCGTGACGGATATGCTCAACTTTCAGACAACCTGAGAAAAATAAGGGTGCAAGTTACGCCGTTGTTGTTAAGATGTTTCTTCTGTATCAGGTTTGGTTATGGTCTGAACACAATGTAGTCCCAGGCAGTTGCGGATTTCAACCTCTCTCCAGAGGTTGGAGGGATGTTAGCCCCAGCCTGCTCACTCAACATTCCTCATCATGAATGACCTCTACAAACCTCCCAATTCCAGGAGGGAATGGAAAGATCCAGATGGATTTGGGGAAATAAGATGGGAGGGGCCGCTCTCTTCCCCAAGCTTATACTGTAGGAGGTGGCAGGTAACCGTGTGTCATAAGAAATTGGAATAATCTGGTTGAGTTTTTGTTGTTGTTGTTGTTTGGGATCAGTTGCAGTGCTTGAACGGAGGGCCTGGGTTCTGTTCCTGAGCTTTCACTTAAGGTTAGAGCTCTACCACTTTGAACCATACCACCTGGTGTGGTTCTGGCTTTTGCATAGTTAAAATTGTAGATAAAAGTTTCACAGGGACATTTCTCTCTGGGCTGGCTTCAAATACTATTCTCAGATCTCAGCCTCCTGAGTAGCTTACAGGCATGACCACCAGTGCTGGGCTGAAGATAACCTTTCTGGGCATGAGGTTAGGGGGGGAAGTTGCTTGCTTTCCCACCATTATAAAGGTGTACAGATCTTGGCCAAGTTCTCCCAAATTATTCTGATTTGAGCATGCTTATTTCCCGCCGTGCTCTGACTGAATTCTTCCTCATCCTTGCTTCAAGTATTAACCAAATGCAGGCTAGCAGTACCTTGTAAGAAGCATTTCCTAGAACTTAATTATCAACATTTGGACTTATGGCAATATATAAATGTGTTGCTATGAATTCTGGAAGTGATCTATCTTTTTAGTTTGAATCAATGTTTATATTACTCCAAAATTACACAAGCAATGTTTACTGCCTTGAAAGTATTTTTTTTAAATTATGTACATTAATCCTAAAAATACCATTTCTGTATTAGGAATCCTTCCCCTGGTCCTGTGGGGAATTAGCGCCATCTGCTGGCTAAGTGCATACACACGGTAGTCTGTCCTCAAACCTAGATGCTTTTAAGGGGGGAGTGTGGGGTGCATGCTATGTGAGAAACAAACCTTACTTTCGAATATACAACTGCTCCACTTCCAGGTCACTAACAGTAGAAACCCCAATTAATTATAAAACATTTTTTTAAAAAGCTGAAATCTTAAAAAGAAGGCATTAAACATTTCTTTCTTTAGGTATGTCCCATGTTCCTCTATTTCTAGAATGATCTATCATTGTTCTACTGTTTCTATGAAGACCTTCATGCTTCATCATGGCTGAGGATTCCTTTACAGACACCTATGAGACACTTATAATGTACATATTACATACACTGAAGTATCTACATGCACAAACTTTAGTCATCGATAAAGCAATAAGCTATGCCTGCCGATACAATAAACAAGTATAAAATTATACAGAGTTTTGTGGGACCTTCACCATCCTTGGACAGAAACTGCAATCATCAGATAATTCAGCAACAAGACATGGTGCTAACTCTTATAAATGAGAATCCCAACAACTGTTCTAAATGATAATATAGAAACATGGAAGATTGCTGAACCAATTTTAATAACATGACATAAGCCCCTAAAGTTGATATAATCATTATGTAAAATACATAGATGAATACTGTCTTCTTTTAAAAATATAAAATAAATAAGCAAGACATGTGAAAATAGGCAAGTTTCCATTAAATAAATGAAAATTTTACAAAAAGAAAGTTTTCCTTTCCATACCATTTGAAGAAGGAAAATTATCATTTAAAACAATATTCAAGTTTATTTAACAAATTTAAAAAGTATTATAAAATGTTTAGCTTTCGTCAGCTTCCAGGTTTATGTTGCTGCCGAATTTCGCATATAGCTGAACTTTCAGATCTGCTAACACCCGCTGCATGGCTGCCACTCTGGATTCTAACGCGTCGATTTCTTCTTGCAAGTTTTTCTGGGGGAGGAAAAAAGTTGAAATTAATCCTATTCAACTAGATGATTCCTAAGTATCTCTGAAATATTTGGGAAGATTGTAGGTCAAAGCACTTTTAATTTAGGTCTATATTTGCTAACTGCACAGTAAGTCATGGTTATTTTCTCAATTTTTGCTGATCTTAAAGCCCATAATAGCTAAAAAAAATAATTATTAAGTTGTCATAGACAAATAAAGAAAGAACTGTACCTAAAGATGTCTGCACAGTCATACATACAGGCATGCCTGCAACATGAACTTTCCTAACTTCCCACAAAAACCATGAAGAAAACAGACCCAACATGACCACAACGCCTGAACTTTCCTGAGGGGAGCAGATGGCGATGCTTCTCTTTTTCTAGTTCTTTCTACTTGGTATCAACCCACTAAAATAAATCATGACTAAAACTTAAAAAACAAAAAAGGTCCAGAGTTTGTTTGATCCTCGCACACAGAGAGGGAAAAGGAAGAGGAGAAGCTGGAAGAGGAAGGAGGGACGAGGGAAAGGGGAGAGAAAGGAAAGGTCAGTATGTGGCAGAACTTTTCACTCTCTCCTGAGAGAGAGCAAGAGGGAGCAGCCCCTCCTTTATTAAGGCAGCACATAGGCCCTGTGGCTGCCTTTCTCTGGATGGAGAGCATGTGAATCAGAGACTAATTTTACATGACCATCATGCATCTCAGCATCATCAGAGTCCACACCGACCCAGAAATTACACTTCTCTAGTCACTGCTTCAAAACCACTGTCTAGCTGTGAACAAAGATTGATGCACACTGAAACATTACTAAAGCCAACGATTAAAAATGAATTCATGTTCATAAGAACACAGTAAGCCACATAAATATCCATTAACATGGTTTATTAAAGATGACATCAAACAAGTTATAAAACAGTGATGTTTTAAAAACTTTTGTTGACCCTGTATCTGCTAGAGAAAGAGATACTAGGCAGATGATAAAACACCCCTATCAGACCCAAGTGTGAAAACAAACTCCATAGGGAAACAGGACAAGACCTACTGAGTCCATGAAAACGTTCACCACAAATTTTTTTAAGTCCTGTAACATGCTGTGTGTTCTAAACACTTTTAACTTCAAAAGACTGGCTTTGTATTACAGGAAGTCCCATAACCTCTCTGAGCTCTGTTGCTGATTCTACATAGGAGTAACTACAATTCACTGTTCAAATTAAGTAAAATCATGCTGACTTCAAAGCTCTACTTAACATACCAAACATTAAAACTTCTTTTCAGGCTACAGAAGATGTCAACGTCACTTTTGAAGATCAACAACAGATAAACAAATTTGCACAGAAAGTTCAGTTAGCTAGGGTCCAGTATCCCCCTCCACCTATAATGATATGTTCTTACAATAATATTAATCCTAATTTAATAATTAGACTTCAGGCCAGATGCCAGTGGCTCTACTACCCTACCTACTCAGGAGGCTGGAATCTAAGGACCAGCATTTGAAGGCAGGCTCAGCAGAAAAGGCTGAGAGATTCTCCTCTCTAATTAACCAAAAAAAGCTGGAAGTAGAGCTGCAGCTAAAGTGGTAGAGTGCTAGCCACAAAAGGAAAAGAGCATAAGGCCCTGAGCTCAAGCCCGAATACCGGCACCTGAAATAAATAAAAATCAGCCTTCATCATCCAGGCAAACACGCCCACGTACCTTTGCATCTTCTAACATTTCCTGGGTTTCCTCCTGAGAGTGGCTAATGAACACATCTCCAATTTGATAGGGTATCATTACGCAGTCGTCGTCTGCAAGCATGATGTCATCACAGGCATCTTCTAAGTTCTGGAGCTGTTTCTACAAGTACAAACACGAACAGCAATCACCTTGGTTCAAAGTTCCCTGACAGGATAATCGGGACCCCAACTCTTCCAGGGACCTTTCACAAAGTTGCATAAGAGACTCTTTCCACTCTGAACACTGCATTAACAGTCGTGGAGGAGCTAACTCACTGTTCTCTGGGTGTTTTCAGATTGCTACAAACAAAGGATCTATGATGGACAGCGCAGCGGGTGTCAATTTCCCACTTTGTGACTCCTGCCTTTCCATAGAAAGCGACACCGAGAAGACAAACCCACCATCCTAAGCACCATTGCTGACTGCGGATAAGCAAACACCAGTGTCACCAATGTGATCCAACTGGACTCCAACTTAAGAGAGCTGCACAAGGAGAGGCTGGCACCGGCGTCAGTGCCACAGGCTGCAGTGACAGCAAGAGTGGCTCGGGTCCCCAGGGCTGCAGGCGGCTTCCCTGCTGAGGCGGGCAGCTCTGAGATCAGCTCTATCCAGAGCCAAGCTCTCTCAGGCATGGTGCTAGGACGTGCCCCAGCATCTCAGTCTGGATGCAAAGGCCCTAGCCAGCTCTCTGGTATCTCGTGCCTCTTTGGAAACGACTTTATGGTGATGCATACCAGACTTGGATACTAGCCTGGGCTACTAAGTGAGGTCCTATCTCCAAAAGCCAAGTAAAAACTTTCCGTTTGAACTAATAAAAATGTACTGAGTCACCACAGCAAAGCGCTCACAGAGGGATGCCTATGAACTAAATTGTTTTAAAAAGATAGCGTGTAAGCCGGGCGCTAGTGGCTCTCGCCTGTAGTCCTAGCTACGCAGGAGGCTGAGATCTGAGAATCACAGTTCAAAGCCAGCCTGGGAAGGAAAGTCCGTGAGACTCTTATCTCCAATAAACCACCAGAAAACCGGAAGTGGTGCTGTGGCTCAAGTGGTAGAGCACTAGCCTTGAGCTGAAGAGCTGAGGAACAGCACCCAGGCCCAGAGTTCAAGCCCCACAACTGACCAAAAAAAAAAAAAAAAGCTATAGTGTAGAGAGCTTTTTTTCATTTTAATTTTATTGTCAAGGTGATGAACAGAGCGGTTACACTTACATAAAGAAGGCAGTAAGTACATTTCTTGTCTAACTTGTTACCCCCCTCCCTCATTTTTCTCCCTCTTTCCCTCCCCAACATCCCTGCCCTGTAGAAAACTTTTAAAGAAATATCTTCCATACCTTTTTTACTTCTATTTCCTCCTTCAGCTCTGTGATTCTACTTGTATTCCGTGCAAATTTGTTTATCTTTTGTTGATCTTCAAAAGTGACATTGACATCTTCTGCAGCCTGGAAAAAAGTTTTAATGTTTGGTATGTTAAGTAGAGCTTTGGTGAAGTCCTAACTTAGCTGATTCTCTTGTTCCAAAACACGCACACATGCAGTGTGTCCTTATCTGGTCAGGAATTAGAGGTACCGAACATCACAGATGCCTTCCCACTTGCTTCATGAGCTTAAGACTTGTTCACAAGTCCAGAATCTATCCCTAAACTACACAAACATTTGAAAATATAGTTAATAAGTCCCAAGACAATACATTTAGCCAAATTTTGGCCAAGAGCAGAAACAAACATTTTTTCATCAAGAAGCAAAAAGTTAGCTAGGCATCAGTAGCTCCTGCCTGTAATTCTAACTACTCAGGAAGCTGAGACCTGAGGATCATAGTTCTAAGCCAAAGCAGGGAGCTCCGAGACTTCTATCTCCAATTAACCACCAAAAGCTGGAGGTGGAGTTGTGGCTCAAATGGTACAGTGCCAGCCTTGAAAAAACTAAGGGATAGCACCAGGTCCTGAGTTCAAGTCCCATTACTGGCACAAAAAGAAAAAAAGTTGCATTATCAAACAGAGCTGTTAAACACTTCATAATAGATTTTCTTCCCACACTGTTGACCAGAAATGATAGTTTCTGTGTTTCTACAGTTTTTAATCAAACTGATGTTCTGGCTAGGTATCTGTGGCTATGTAGGGGGGGGGGGGGGGGCGGGGGGGGGGGCGGGGGGAACCTACACTCCATTCACAGGAAAACCTACACTTACTGGAAAGCCTATCTATTTGTCTTAAGTAGGAAGAATTCACTATAAAATGATGAAATTTAATGTTTACTATTCCACATTAACAGCTAAGGTGATTTGCAAATAAAAGCTAAGAGTGCTCAGAAGACAGAGTGTGTAAAATGATTTAAAAACAGCTGATACCGATGCAGGGCTATGTGCTAAGGATTGTTAAAGTGCCTCCTCTCCGCTAACCTTCCTGGCCAGTCTTAGCAAGGCAGATCACCAACACTGTTACAGATGGAAAAACCACGCCCAACAGGTGAGACAGTCTGGCCTAGGTGACATATCCAGTAAGTGAGGAAATGGATTTCAATCCAGCTAATCCCACCTAGTCTACAGAAAGGTCCAAAAGCTTCTGGCAATTCAATGCAGAAGTATGCACACAGGTATGTGTGCATGTGTCCACGTGTACATGTATTAAGTGTATCTGCATCTGTAGTCTTATTGGCTTTTCTGCCAATAAGAGAAATGGGCTCACAGTACCCCAACTCTAGCCCTTACCTGGTCTCTTGGGGCCAGGGAAATAAGATACATGGATTTTAATTCCCCGCAGGTGGAAGAGCAAGAGGCTGCTGAAGCAAGCCACAAAGGCAGCGGCCTTTGTAGCCCTGCCCTTACCAGGCTCTCATCCCAACGGTCAAACGCATTGCACTGGGCCTGCGTCAGACCCAAAGCACATCCTGAGGGGATCCTTTGCATCAAGCGGTGCAGCGCTTTTGCTTTTCTTTGTTTTCATGGAAGTTGCGAAACAAAGGGAGTACTAGAAAACAGAATGCGTTGGGTTTGAGCTGCCTGTGTAAGTTCCATCCATTCCCCCTGTAAGGGAAGGAGGACTGAAAGGCCCTCAGGTCAGTCAGGTGGACGCATCTAAAACAAGGGCCTTTCCCAGACTTTAAGTTGCAGGAGCTGCGAGACAGGCCCAGGCCTCCCCACTGCTCTCCCCGTGACCTCCACCACATAAAATGCTGCCGCATCTCAGGCTCAAGAACATTGTCTGAATCAAGGAAAAAAAATCTGGTAATCACAAAGTTGGCAAAGTCCAAGGTTCAAATCACTGTACGTCATTCTACAAGGTTTGCACGTCATCTCTCTGCCTGTTTCCACATGTGTAAGACCCAGGCATCCATAACTGTTGTGTTTCAGGGAAATGAAGGCTATTCCTGACAAGAGACCAATCAGAGGGAGATGAAGCTCGCCCATGTTTCATACTTGTGTGAATCAAGATGAACCGTAAACAATTCTCCTTGAGCTGACGGGGGCTTTTCTGGCTTAGAAACCCCCCCCCCCCACTCTGGGACAAATTAGGATGGTCACCCTGCGGCAGCAGAGACAGGCACAGACCATGTGGCACCACATGACACTGGACAGCAAAGGAGGTACACCTGGTGTGGCCCTAAGAGCAGAAGGCAAGGTCACCCAAGACCCCACCAGCTGAGAAACTTGGGGGGGGGGGGGGGGCCTCCTTCTACCTGTGCCCTGCCTCGGCTTCCTCATTACTAAACAACATCTCTCCAAAGGACTAAACAGATCAAAATTTAAAAATGAAATACACACATGCTAAGATCTGGGCCTGGCACCCAGTAAAACTTCAATTTAATCAGTGTACTTTCTTAACACTTTTAAGCATCGAGGGAAAACCCATGGGACATATATAATACATATATTATATATATGTTTATTTATATATGTATGTCCCAAATGGACGTTGAGCTCATTGTGGCTGAACTGCAGTAAGATGGCACACTGTGCTCCTAAATAAAGACGTGAGTATTCCATTGTCTTTCACGGAGTTAAAGGCTGTACCTGACAACAGGGACCAACTGATGGTGGATTAATCTTGCCAAGTTTCATACTTGCCTGAACCAAAATGAACATGTATATGTGTATATATATACACACTTATATGCATATACATATAGATGTCATGACAAGAAAAACAAGTTAATAGCTGAGCCCATTGCTGGGGAGGGGGGGGCTGTGTCCACAGCCCCCGGGGTCGGGGAGGGGGGGGGGGGCTGTGCCCTGCGCAGGCCTCAGGGCTGGGGGAGGGGCTGTGTCCGCAGCCCCCGGGGGTCGGGGAGGGGGGAGGGGGGCTGTGTCCTCCGCAGGCCCCCGGGGTCGGGGCGGGGGGGAGGGGGGCTGTGTCCTCCGCAGGCCCCGGGGGTCGAGGAGGGGGGTGGGGGCTGTGTCCTCCGCAGGCCCCGGAGCAGCACGAGAACCGGGCTCCGGGCCGGGGCCGGGCCCGCCTCGCCTCCCAGGCGCCCGGGAGCCCGAGGTGGGCACGGGCGGCTGAGCCGGGCGCACAGGCAGCGGCCCCAACGACCTGGGAAGCCGAGGCCGGATCGCGACCCCGGGCTGAGGCCCGGGCGGACCCCGACCTCCCCGCGGGGCTCCAGGCGGGGGCCGCGCAGCCCAGGACGCCTGGAGCCCCGGGAACCCAGGCCCGCGCGCTTTCCGCGGCCCCCGCGCCCCGCATCCCCGGCCCTCCGGGTCCCCACGCCCCGGCCCCACGATCCCCCAGATCCCCGGCCCTCCGGGTCCCCACGATCCCCCAGATCCCCGGCCCTTCGGCCCCACGAAACCCCAGATCCCCGGCCCTCCGGGTCCCCACGCCCCGGCCCCACGATCCCCCAGATCCCCGGCCCCTCGGCCCCACGATCCCCCAGATCCCCGGCCCCTCGGCCCCCACGATCCCCCAGATCCCCGGCCCCTCGGCCCCACGATCCCCCAGATCCCCGGCCCTCCGGGTCCCCACGATCCCCCAGATCCCCGGCCCTCCGGGTCCCCACGATCCCCCAGATCCTCGGCCCCTGACCCCCCCGATCCCCGGCCCTCCGGCCCCCCCGGGTCTCGGGTCCCCGGCCCTCCGGCCCCCCGGGTCTCGGGTCCCCGGCCCTCCGGCCCCCCGGGTCTCGGGTCCCCGGCCCCCGGGCCCCCCGCGCCGCACTCACCGCCTTCTTCATGGTGGCCGCCATCTTGGGACTGGACCACGGGCCAGGCGGGGGGCGCCGCGGGGCGCGGTTTTCCAGGAGGCCTCCCGCGGCCACTACCGGCCCGGGGCCCCCACGAGTGCAGCGCGGTCCCCACGCCGGCGCCCTGGCCGGTGACCCCCGCGGACCGGGGCGCGGGAGCCGCACGCCGACCCGGAGGACTTGGTACGCGCCGATTAAAGGGACAGGCGGCTCCCTGTGGGCCGACAAAAAGGGGGCGTGGCGAGCCGCGGGGCCGGGGTACCGCACGCGGCACCTCCGCCCCGTCCCGCCGCGCACCCGGCGCCCCCGCCCTCCCCACACCCCGCACCCCCTCGCACCCCGCCCCGCGCCCCGCGCCCCGCACCCCCGCCCCGTCCCGTCCCGCACCCGGCGCCCCCGCCCTCCCCACACCCCGCACCCCCTCGCACCCCGCCCCGCGCCCCGCACCCCCGCCCCGTCCCGTCCCGCACCCGGCGCCCCCGCCCTCCCCACACCCCGCCCCGCACCCCCGCCCCGTCCCGTCCCGCGCCCGGCGCACCCGCCTTCCCCACACCCCGCCCCGCACCCCCGCCCCGTCCCGTCCCGCGCCCGGCGCACCCGCCTTCCCCACACCCCGCCCCGCACCCCCGCCCCGTCCCGTCCCGCGCCCGGCGCAACCGCCCTCCCCACACCCCGCCCCGCACCCCCGCCCCGTCCCGTCCCGCACCCGGCGCACCCGCCCTCCCCACACCCCGCACCCCCTCGCACCCCGCCCCGCGCCCCGCCCCGGCATCCAGCCCGGTGGAGCCTCGGACCACGAAGGGCATCCGGTGTCGTCCATCCCGCGATGGGGCCGCGGAACGGGGCTGGCTAACGTGAGAGGCCGGACGCCCCGCACCGCCCGGGCCGCGGAGGAAGGACGCCACCGAGCAACCCCGCCCTGGCCGTCCCAGCGTCCCGGGGCTGAACGAGCGCGCCTACCCGGACCCGCCCTGCGGACTCCCCGCGTCTCCGCCTGCGGGAAGCTCCCCAGCTAAGATGCTCACACGCGCTTAAATTCTCCCCGAGTCCCTCTCGGTCTCCACGAGTCTGTCCGTCTGTCTGCCTCCTTCCGCCCCGCCCCCCAAGGTCATGGAATATCTCAAGATGAATTTTGTTGTTTTGTTTTTAGTTTCCACCCATTAAGGATTAAAGAAAGGCTTAAGATGGTCAAAGAACAGTTCTGGGGCCTGGTGACCTTTGAGTTGCTCATCCCAGCTAGTACACCAAGGCCTAGGGGTGAAATTTCATTTGTATACCCTTCCAACCCTGGGGAAGGTGACTGTGCCCCCGATCTGGTCCCCAGGAGCCGCCCCGTGCTGCAAGAACCCCTCCCACTTCCATAAAAACTTGTGCTGAGGTGAGTCCCATTGTCATTTTCACCTTTGGAGAGACGTGACGGGCACTCAGTCTATGGAAGATGAATTCCCATGCCCCCACACTTTCCTGTGGCTTTGACCACACTTCCAGTCTGGTCTGAATTCCCCTGTTGCCAGTGGGAGGGAAATACGCTGTGCTGACTATGGGCCAGGGCAGGCCACGCCGCAGGGAATGCTGTCCCAGGCGCCCGACCTGGGGGGCACTGACCAGGGTCTCAGCACGCTGGGCGGTGCCAGTCAGTGTGGGCCTGGAGATCACCAGGTTTCCCCACCACGCCTCACCCCCCCCCCCCCCAAAGCAGCCTTCCAGGCTGTAGACATCTTGCAGTTTCCTGCCATCCTTGCCCTACCTTCTTGCCCTACCTTGGAGTCTTCTAAGGAAATCGCTCTCTCCCAGCAGTGCCCTTGGCCGCAGGACTTTCAAACTTTTGCTTAAAATCCAGCCTTTGCCTCTGACTTTCAGGCCGAACACTGGGTCGTTCAGGCCTGAAAAACTGAGTCTCAGGCTTTCTGAGTGAAGCAGGCCCTGAGAGGAAACTCAGCAGGTGCAGCTTCTTTCCAGGCTTTGCCTTTGTTTTAGGGATTTTAGGGGAAAAAAAACCTCTAAACAAGGTTAATTCGACCTTGGCTCCAACCAGCCCAGTTCTTGGAATGGAAGGAATGCCTCTAGGTCCCCCTCCCCTCAACAACCTAACCCACCTTCATTGTTCTGTTAAAGACTGAATCAGGTTGTAATCTGGCTGATACTGGCAACATCACAAGCTTACCATAAACTCCGCCTTTTTCACGTGCTTATGGTAAACTCCTCCTTTGAGTATGCTTACCGTAAGTTCCGCCTTACCGTTGAATTCTGGAGTCATTTAAACCAAAAGTGATAGGCTGGTTTAAACAGCCATTATGTGACAAACTGTAACCTCACTGGCCACCTGTGTGTGGTCTAGTATGATTGTGCAATCTTTTGGGTGTGTGACAATCTCATTGGTCACCTGCATGACCAGGCTTGACCTAGTGAATTTTGCCTTTAAAAACCAAAGTATGGGGCTGGGAAGGTGGCTCAGTGGTAGAGCGCTCGCTTTGCATGCTTGAGGCCCTGGGTTCGATTCCTCAGCACCACATAAGCAGAAAAAAAAAGCCGGAAGTGGCTCTGTGGCTCAAGTGGTAGAGCGCTAGCCTTGAGCTGAAGAGCTGAGGGACAGCGCCCAGGCCCAGAGTTCAGACCCCACGACCGGACTCAAAAAAAAAAAAAGTATGTGGGCAGCTGGGGGCCGCAGTATCAGCTCCGAAGCCTGTGCTGTGGCCCTGGCCGGTCAGTGTAGGAACCTTCGCAATAAAGTTGCTTCCTTATTAATAACTTCATTGCGCTGGGCTCTGTCACTCCAGAGAACTAGGTAGGCTTGCTTGCCTGAGTAGGGGTCTTCCTACTACACTGAGACCTTAGCAGTAAGCAAATGATTGCACTCAGCCATCCCATGTTACCTTGCTTAAGCTTGTCAAATCAAGAGTCCTGGCAACCCCAAAGTTGGCATTTCTGCAGGATGGCCCCTGCATCCCTGTGGGCACTGCCGTAGGCAAGGCTATTTTCCTGACAAGTTCCCTCCAGGTCCTCACTCCCAGTTCTAAAAGTGAACTCAAGGTTGTTTTGAGAGAATCTAGATTCAGCTGGTATAAGTTCTCAGACACCTCCCTACCTCTTGGCTAAGTTTCCGCCCAGTATCCGTTACCTAGGTAACTGGCACACCAGGAAGCAGTCCTCTCCCCCTCCTGCTGGGTTATAGCCAGGGCAGCCCCAGGCCTTCCATCTGACTTTAGGAGGGTCCCAGCCCCGGAGGTCACATGGGGATCCAGTGTGGCCACACCTTTCCCCCACCTGGCCACACCATTTCCTGTCCCCGGCCTCAATAAGTCCCCACCCGGCCTGAGTCTCCCCTTTTTCAGCCGCGCCTCTCCACCACACATGCCAGCCAGCAGTTCATTAAATAAACTTATTTTCCTGCCTGAATAGTGTGTGGCATTCTCTTCATCAGCTACCTAATGAAACCTACCTACTTAATATACCTTACAGCTGGGACATGCCTGGACAATTTGGTAGCTTACATGCCAATTCAGGTGGATTCTGTGTGTTCCTCTCCATTTCCCAGTCTACCTACTTTGCATGTATTTCTTTCTATCTTCTTCATGAAGTTGCATGTGTGTTTACATGGTCTACATTATTATTGTCTATGCCCTTGTTGAAATGATCAGGAGCATTCAAAGCAATAACACTGTCTGATCTACATCGCTGTTTACTAACTTGTTTTGTCCCTCTCCCCTCACTTCAGTGTCTCCCATCGCTACAATGCATGCTGCATGAGGATAATGGATTTTGCCCATATTTTCGGTGTAGCATCCCTCTTCATAGGCTCACCTGCCAGACTCTCCCAGCACCTGGGAAGGGAAGAGATCCCTTCGCTGGAAATTTGCAGCATTGCTAGATGCAATTGCAAACAGGAAGTTAAATCAGCCTTGGAGCTTAGTATTTTGGCACCCATGCTGGCAAAGATATATCACCACCACACACAGCACCCAGAAACCCGTCTCTCGGGAAGTATAGCTGCAGTGGTGACCCAAGACTCTGAAATTGGTGGCAGGGTGACTGGAACCATAAAACCTACTTGAACTGGCATGCAAACTCCAAAGTGGTCCAGGCATGTCCCCGCTTCGGTCACGGTCACAAAGCCATAGTGAGCTCATTGTGACAGTTCACATCAGTTCAGGTTTCCCCCACCTGCAGCTTGCCTCTTAAGTTCATGGGCTCAGACCCCAAGGGGATGTACAGCTCCTTCCTTCCCTGCCAGTGCTGGAAGTCAGGAGGGTGTAGCATGAAGGGAAACCTCTTGCCAGCATAAGGTAATTTGGTTCTGTGCCTGCAGGGGGCGCACAAGGATCGTGGCAACGCTGCCTGCAGGAACAATCCACCTTCATTTTTTTCACACTTCTTTGGAAACTTTTTACACTGGGACATGTACAGCTGCGTCCGTTTGCCTTGGGCTCAACCATTTTGTAAACATTTTTTTCTCCAAAGCTGAGTGTGAAAATCTTCCTTGGCTTCCCATTGCCCAAAGGGTCAGATGACCAGCTTCTCCCTCTCCGATCCTGCTTCATACCGTCTTTCTCCCCCTCCCTCACTACCTGCCTTCACTCTGGGCCTCTGTTCCTTTAAGTATCACATGCCCTGTCCCACCTCGGGGCCTTTGCACTTGTTTTCCTGCTGCCCAGGCCCTTCCTTTCTCTTGTTACTTGTTGGGCTAAATCCCACTCGTCTTCAAGACTCAGCCATAGTCTGTGCCGTTCCACCAGGGAAGCTGCTGTGCTCTGGATGTGGCCCCTCCCCCCAAAATCCATGTGTGGGAACGTAATTGCCACGTGATGGTGTTCAGATGGTGTTCAGAATGAGGCCCTTCAGAGGTGGCTGAGTCTGAGGGAAAGCCCTCACAGTCGAGTGTCCAGCTCTCCCAGAAGGGTTGGGTGGTAGATTCCTTGTCTTCTACCCTCTAGCACTGAAGGACACACTGTTCCTTTTGTTCCATGACGTGGCCAGGTACCATCTTGGCCCGAGAGGACAGACCCTCTCCAAGGCACCCACGGGTACCCTGATGAGCCAGATCATCCCAGCTTCCAGAACTGTTTACAAACTGCCTGGTCTTCAGTATTGTTCTTGTAGCAGCACAGACTAA